AATTAATAAAATAAAATCCTTTTTAATTAGTACATCACCATTGACATAGCGCACCTCTTCCAATTGCCCATCAATGGTTTTATAAGACCGATCCTTTTCCTTACCTGAGGAGGGGTGATGTTTTTCTAAGTCTTCAAAATCGTGCACATGTTCTATTCGTTTGCCTACACTCTCAACTATGGTAAATTTTTTGCCATTCATAATAGCCCCCTTTTTATCGTCTAAATAACCTTCTCGGATTTAACTATTTTTCCAATTCACTGACCAATAAAAATACTCTTGCTCTTTTTTGTACAAGGCGTTATGCGCCGTGTACTACCTTCGTCAAATACCAACACCGCTGTTGAAATTTAAACGTATAAGTTGTTTTATCATCCGTACCGTTCTGGTAATCAGCAATAATATTGACTGTATTGGCTTTTTTTTCAAACTTAGTCAAATACCCATGATCACGCTTTCTTTTGGCACTGGCAATTACAGGAAAATCGACTTGACTAGCCGTTTGCATTTCGATAGTAGCATCGGGTGAGTCATTATAATACTCATGCCGCACTGGGTATTGCGAAAACTGTTTTTGGATAGGCACATTTTCCCGAAAATGTTTTAAAAATACTTGAAAGTTCGTTGATGGGCACGCATGTTTCGGTATGTTCGCTTGTAGCGGCTTTTCTCTTGCCACACTTATTTGCGGGCAAAGAACGATGAAACTCACGACGGCTAGTTGTTTAAGTGACATAATTTCTCCTGATGGTCAAAGCCTGTTGTTTATTAGCCTACAATCAATCAATAAATTAATTCATGTTGGCTTCGTTAAAGAATCGTACAAAAAAATTTTACTAAACCGCTATCAAGATATATAATTTCAAGCAATACTTATGTATTTAATCAATAAGATTACATAAAATCATGTTCATCATATTGATAGCGGTTTAGTATTGAGGCAATTGCATTAAACGGATCGCTATTTTTACCAAAAAGATCCTTCGATCACAACAATTCACAAGATAAATTGTATTTTGTAAGGCTTACAAAACATCAATCCGCTTGAAAATCTATCCCCGTAATCACCCGCTCCCCAGCATGAGCCTGAATATGCACAACAATTTCAATGGTTTTCTTCAATAAAATCTTAATCGTTTCAAATTCTAGGCCGCCGCCTTCGGGGGAGGCTTTCACCATTAAGGCCAGCTGATCCCAAACTTGAGCGACATTGCCCGCATGGCAACTGGTAATCGAACCGGGGTGACCAGAGGCGCAGTTACGAATAAAATAAAAGGCCTCGTCACCACGCAGCTCGGCTAATAAAATTCGATCGGGCTTCATCCGCAGACAAGCCTCCAAGCAGTCTTTAGCTGAAATTTGCGCTATCGATTGTCCGCCTTTCGAGTACAATAAATGGACGACGTTCTCGTGCGGGATAAATAATTCTCGTGCATCTTCAATGGTCACCAAACGTTCATCCAAGGGAATATGATTGACTAGGGATTTCATAAAAGTGGTTTTACCACTCCCAGTTGCACCCGCTACCACAATATTTTTTTTAAATTGCACGGCCTTTTTGAAAAATTCAGCCAGCTGTTTGGTTTCCAGTAAGTGTTTAAGGACTTGGTTGTGTTCGTTACCCCCTACATCGCTTTTTATTTTGTCAAAAAAACCATCCGCATCATATTGCTCAAGGGTTTTGGTGAATTTTGCGGGTAAGCGGATGGTAATGGAGGTTTTATTAGCCTCTGTAGCAGGGGGAACCACCAACTGAGCCCGTTGCCCAGTTGGAAAGGTTAATGAAACCATTGGCTTACGATCACTGATGCTTTGACCCGTGTTGGTTTCATTAATCACCACCATACAAAACTGTTTGGCGCGTTCAAATGTGAGCTCAGGCACCTCTACGCGTTGCCAACCTTTACGCGTTTCAACATAAATGTGCCCTGGTCGATTAATACAAATTTCTGTGATTTCGGGATTGTCAATAAAATCTGCAATGCCTAAAACACGATACTGATAATTTAAAAAATCATTGCTGATATCGACGTCAAAATCATTTGTACTCATTTTCAGGTCACTTATACTAAAGAGGTATAGCCACCCCTAAATATCCATTATAACCGCGCTCTTGCCAGACGCGATTTTTGCATAATTTATAGTTATACTTCGTCACCATTTTAGGCAGTTTTTACATGAAAATGGCAGCGACCAATACTTTATTCAATACAGTCATCAATTTGAATTCATAACACTCGAAAAATCAATATCGCGCGCCACATAAATATTAATGCGCTCACCCTGATTGATGGTAATCGTAGGTGCTTTGTTGATGGTCTTTTCCAGCACCATTTCACTCATGCTTTTACTGGCTTGCTGTGCGCTTGCTATCCCTACAGATGCCGTATTTGATTTTTGCACAGCACCTGCTAAAACATTCATCCCCCCGTCGATCATGGACACCAAAATGGCTGCACCTAAACGCTTACCCCAATGGTTATTGACATCACCCACTAATCCCGTGCCACCAAGCCCATCAGTCCCAGGGCTATCTAAGTTCACATCAAGACCTTCTGGCGTTAAAATGCGATTCCACAAGACACCCATGCGCTCTTGACCGCCATTGGTATCTGGAGTTTGATATTCGCCACTCACTTTAGAGCCAGGCTTAATGAGGAGTTTTTTGCCATTGTAAGAATAAATGGGCTCATTGACGGTGCAAGAGGAAAAACCCGATACATCTGAAACAATTTTTGTGTCTAAAGTACAACGGATAAACGTACCACGTACCATCGTATAATCGGGATTACCGAGTTTTTTAACATTACCCCGTGCAATTCCTGTCGCTTTTAGTGTCCGCGCCAAATCAGACTCTTTGCCTTCGGCAACCATACCTCCGGCATTGCCCGTGCCAATTTCGCCCAACTGACCTTCAACTAACACAGGACCTGAATCCAGTCGTTTTTGTACCACATTGTCACCTTCATTAGTTTCAGGCTGAGCAGGGGGTCGTGCCGCGTACTCTGGAGCAGCAGGAGCTTGGGATTCGTATGTAGGCGCGGGAGGAGTGTAAGATGGTTGTGTATTTTCAACCACTTGTATAGGTGCCGCAGACTCTTCTCCAGCTGTTGTCGTGGTGGCGGCATCTACTGCTGCCGGATCAAAGGTATATGCGCCCGTTTCACTGGTGTTGGCCAACACCGGTTCGGGTTTATCCGAGGAGGTTAGTGTACTATCTGATGATCCGACATCAGATTCAGTCGATTTTTGAGAAGCGTTTAGGGCGTAAGCCCCGATAGCAACGGTGACCCCCAAAACACAAAATGCCATAAAAGCGATTTTTTTCTTATCGAGCCCTCCCGTCGCATTCATGTACAAAGAACCGTACTCGGTTTTATCAAGCAAATCCTTTTTCACCTCTTCGTGAACCACTGCCGTTTCGGTTTTTGTGTTCGAAGGGTTTTTTTGAGTCGCTTCTAACTTAGAAGTAGGCGCAATGTCATCTTCGTCCGTCTCATCCGGCACTAAATCAGGTGCTGCTGACACGAGCTTTTGCATCATGGCATTGTTACTGTCTGCGGCGGTGATGGATTGTGATTGTTCATTCATATACAGCTCCTCATCTTAGAATGGATACCAATTTTCTATCAAAAAACTGCGAAATCGCAGCGAAGGCATGACTAGAGTAATGCTAAGAGCCATGACAAAGTAGCACTTTGAGAGAGAATGGGTAAGAGAATTAATCTTCAACTTTGTCTTTATTTCGACGTAAACCCACAACACGTTCGCCATCTCGTAAAATCAAAAAGTTATACAAGCCGTGGACACGAATCACATCTTCATCAATACTTTTATTCACCACATTTTCATCACCTGACTCTGTGTCACGACTAAACACACTGGGCATGACCTTGGGCGGCATAACGATATAGATAAACTGATCATCATCATACACCCGTAACGGCACAATCCCTTCGGAATCCGGCCCCGCTTTAAAATCATAATTTAAATGATATTTGGCAAACCCTGTCAATTTGCTCTTGGTGGTGATGTTGCGTGGTGGCGACGTAGGTACTGTGGGGGGAGGAAGCAAATCGTTACTCGGCAAAGCTGCGGGCAATGCGGCTGGCGTTTCCTTAGGCATCTGGTTTTTATCATAAATAAAAACCACTTTATAGTTCACCCCCGAATCCTTGGCATCCTTAAGGTCTTTCCACTTTGTTGTGACAACCTCTAGCTCTAGCAAATAACGTCGTTTGTTGGTATTAATAAACATATTGGTGTCGGCACGCTCTTGTTTAGGACTCAAATAAAACGTGTTGTCTTCTCGCGTAATGTTCCAAGCATTGGTAAAGCCTGTGCCATACTGCTTAACCTCTTCACTGGGGTCAATCACAATCTGTGTAGCAATGCCTAACCCCGTGCGTACTTTGACCACTTGGCTCTCTGAAAAATAGACGGTTTTAATCTGCTGCGCCATCGAAGGGGTTGCCCAGCATGACAAAAAAACCAGCATGAAGGTGAAAGTCTGTTTACGGATAAAGTGCATTATTGTCCTCCCGCATTGGGTGTCGTATTCGGATGTGTTGAGCCTTCTGTTGGCGATGTGGCTGTTGCTGGAGCCGTCTCTGGGTTGATACCTGCCGCCCCTTCAGCTCTCATGGCTGGGCTACCTGCAGTGGTTTCCGTTCCTGACCACTCAGATGGGCTAGTTTGGCTGCTGTCCGTGCTTTCAATGTCCGTTCGATAGTTCCTAACAAAAAAGCCGACGGGATTTTCTATCCGCATCTGCTCATCCATTTTGACGGTCGGGTCGTATTTAAAACTAATATCCGCAATATAAATAGAGGATTTTTCAATATTATCGTTTTGTTTGTTTTTAAGCATTTTTTGAAAACGGACGACACCTTGCCCATCGCCTTTAGGGGTGACGGATAAAATTTTGACCCGCATCTCTTTGGCCTTGCCATAGACTTTATCAAGGCTATTTTCTCCAGCAAACAAGTTGCGATATTCACTAGCCACATCATTGGTTGAAGTAGCGAGCACTTTACGCCAGTCTGAACCTATTGAATACCACTCGTAAGACTCTCTAGCCACAACATATTTAGCCAAATTACTTTTATCTAGAGCCTCCGAACGGGGCATATCGCCATCCTTTAGACGAGACAAATGGGAGGTGGCCCCCGTATATTTATCCACCACAATGAGGTAGGGCTCTTTTTCTTTTAAGGGCATCACAAACAAATACCCCAACCCCAAGAAAAACGCCAATAAGGCAGACAAACCAGCAACCATCCACGCAATTTTTTCGCGCTTTTGGGCTTGCTGAGCTAACGTCACCTCAAACGTCACGGAACGCGCAATCACATCCTTGCTCGTTTTTTCCGTAGTTTTAGCCGTAGTTTTTTTTGATTTAAACATATGGGATACCCAAAAACATCAATTATTTTTTTTCTTGGGCTGTCTTGCACCCTTAACTTCCCGAACCGTAATCATACCCGCGCCGAGCGTGATAACCGCATCGGAATCTGCCCCATAAATTTGATTTAAGGCATTAATCCCTTCAGTAAGCTTGTAGGCTTTCACACCTTTGACTTCTTCGGTCAAAGAAAAGTCCGAGTGATAGTCATAGCGCAAACGCAACCCCGAATCGGCAGCCCAACGCTCCAAGACGTTTTTGAGGGTTGCATCAATAGGCATCACCACATACTTATATGGGCGATTGAGCGGGATGACCTTCACTTCTTTTTCGTAGCGGTTCACTGGCGTCCAGTCCCCTTCAGGCTGGGGCAGGCTGGACCCACAAGCGGTGATAAAAAACACCACAAAAATACGGATCATCACCTGCGCCATGTTTTTTTGAAAATTTAGCATTTTTGTCTTTTAAAAAAATAGTGTTGATATTATAATACAAACATTGGGTACTTGGAAGCCTAATTCTAGCGGAAATGTGACCGCCAAATTCGATTTCTAGTGTCTTTGTGCCCATTCTCCATCAAAGCACAGCTTGGTCATGGTCCCGAGCCTTACTCGAGTAAGGTCTTCGTCTCCATTTGACATCACGCTTTGATACAGAATTAATATTACATGCTAGGTGCACCAGTTGTTTCATCATTGCGTTATCTCCACCATAACCGGAAAATTTGTGAGTGGACTATTATTGTCTGATGCAATTTTACAACAACCCACACCTTGTTGGCTAGCAAACTTTTATTTTTCTTGTTTGCCTAGCCTGATACAATAGAGTAATCATTAAATTTTATTGGATTTAAAATTTCAATATAATCAAAGTTTTTACGACACAGTGTAGATAACGGATCTAGAACCTTATTGGACGACCTATGATCATCGATTGCCCTAATTTAGCCGTCCCCCCCACCATCATGCAACACGTCATGAAAGTGGAGTCCTCCAAAAACCCCTACGCGATTGGCGTAGTGGGTGGTCGTTTAGCACGTCAGCCGCAGACGTTGGCTGAAGCGGTTGCTACCGCTAAAATGCTCGAGCAACAAGGCTTTAACTTTTCGGTAGGCTTAGTTCAAGTTAATCGCTACAACTTACAAAAATACGGCATTACCAGTTACGAGCAAGCTTTTGATCGCTGTGCCAATATTCGCGCAGGCAGTTTGGTGCTGCGTGAGTGCTACGACCGCGCTAAAGACTGGCCCAAATCTTTTAGTTGTTATTATTCTGGCAATTTCACCACCGGCTTTGAGCATGGTTATGTACAAAAGGTGGTGAATTCGATCCAACAAGCGCAAATGGGACCAACGCCAGAAGGCGCGATTCCTGTGATTCCGCGCAAAGGTTTTACGCCCAATGCGGCGCAGCGGGGGCGGGGTGGGGCAACGTTTTTGCCTCCGGGGATGCCAGGGGCAAGCCGCTCAACGGGAAGCTCCGCATCCGTTGGTGGTGCGCCACCTGTGATACGCAGTGGCACCTTACCTTATGGTGCTCACCCCAAAGACCGTAACGCTCGTATTGCTTTGCCACCAGGTTATCGCGCCATGCCTGCGCCGGCCATGTATGGTGCCCCTGTCGGGGGTGTCGGCGGCGCGGGGGGGTATGTGCCGCCCCCTGCTCTGGGTCATGCTCAACCCAACACTAATGTTTATGGCAATAACACCGCTGCCCCTCCCCCAGCAGCTCAGGTATTAAACCCTGAGCCCATCGCTGATGAAAACGCTGATCCGTTTAAACCTTCCGCTAAACGCGCTAGTGCCGCCACCCTTAAACCTGCTACCAAGCTCGCTGAAAACCCTAAACCGAATGACCGTTCGCGTAATGGCGGTTTGGTGATCCGCGGTGGGGGCGATAGTGCACAAGCCAAGCCTGTTGAGGATAACCCCATTAACCTTAACAGCGACAGCGGCAAAAAGGATAATGCTTTGATTTTTTATGATTTTTTGAATAATTGTGTCCTGAGTTCCGCTCCTCATTAACCCATCATCTGGCTCCCATTTTTATGAAAAAATTGACTTTTTTGCCATTATCGCTCACCTCTTGGGGGCTTGTATGTTGTTGTGTGATCCATCCGGTTTTGTCTTTGGCACAAACCATGACTGGGCCACAAAAAAAAGCCAGTACAACCAACACAGCCAGCTCCATGAGCACTGCGGAGTTACAGAAAAAAATTAGTGCACAAGCTGCGGCCGAGCTACAAATAAAAGCGCATTCTTTGAGTGCTGCTGAGTTAAAAGGAAAAGTGAGCGAACAAGATCTTGTGGAGCTACAAAAAAAAGCTCTCGCATTAAAAATGGCTAAGCCTCAGGGAGCAATGAGCGCACAAGCCATGGCTGAACTCCAAACAAAGACCACGACATTTAACATCGATGATTTAAAAGGAAAAATGAGCGATAAAGACTTTGCGGAGCTACAGAAAAAAGTCCGTCAATCGAACATCTCTAAGTTACAGGGCGGTGCGAGCCCACAAGCCGTAGCGCAGATGCAGAAAAAAATGGGCTTACAAAACATGGCTTTGCCACAAAATATCGCTGCACTTTCCACTCAAAAAATGGACTCAGACCAAGAATGGGCCTGCACCCTTATTCTTTGCCTTGCCAACCCCAATGGCTGGTCTTCTGTCAAAGAGTGTGTACCGCCGGTTAAAAGACTGTTTAGACACCTCCGTAAACCTAAAGCAAAATTCCCAACCTGCTTTTTTTCTGGGGATTCTGATAAGGGTACAGGCTCTTTTGCGCGTATTGATAGCCACCCCAAAGACCCTTGGTTTCCTTGTGAAGATGGACTAACCCCGCTTCAATCGGGGGTTAATGTGGTGCAATACCTGAGCGTAGGGTCAGCACCCCCCTCCAACAAAAACTCAAAATACGCAGGTAATCAACAGCCTATAATGAGAGATGGTTATGAAAACATCTATTCAGTAGCCTATGCCCCTGTTCAAAAACCTCAATATGGTTCTCTCTTGACTTACCACGAACGCGCCTGTGTGGGCAAATTCGTTCGCACCGCACGTGTTTGCTTAGCAACGGATTATTATAGTAACTGCACCAAGCCCGTTACCGTCTCGGTCTACGACAAAATCGTCTGGCAGAAACCGCAAAGTGATGCCGTTAATATGCACATCGATGGGCAGTTCTCCTCGCGGATACTTTGGGATCGGGGGGATAACTGGGATTAATGGGGCTTAAAAATGGGGGGGTGAAAGTTCTTTCACTCCCCAACGACTTAATAGCTTCTTTATTCAACAAGATAAAAATATTCTACCACCCCAACTTTATCAATTTTAATATGATTATGCAGTTAAAAACACCCTATTTTTATGGAGCAACCTGATGAAAAAAACCTCTCTTTTACCAAACTTGGCAACCTTAACCTCCCGCTTTGCCTTACGCCCCTGTACCCTTGCTTTAGTCGCGAGCACTTTGTGCTTAAGTGCTGGGG